CATTATAAAATTTTTATGCCGTATGGTATTACAGTCCTATTCATAATATAGTATTGGAAACATTGTTACAGTTTTTAAAAACCACTTGCCTATGACATAGGCTGGTGGGTAGTTTCTCCATTAGGAGACAGAGGCACATGTCACAGTCATGTAGTTCTTTGAAAGTAAACGACACAGAAAGTTATAAAACAGAAAGGAAACCAATACGTTATTAATTTTGTGAAGTATCACTCACGTTGCACCTGTGTAAGCAATAGGCTGTCCGCCTCCATGTGAGCTGCCCACGATGTCCTGCCCAGTGAACACTCAGGCGGTGGTGCTGGTGGTGACACACGGTCGCGGCCTGCGGCGCCTGCTGCAGCGGCTACATTCGCACATGGAGACCCTCACAAACGCGCAGCAGATAGTGTATCAGCTGTACGACGGGATGGCTGTTTACTAGTCCCTCAGTGGAGGTGGGTCACCCTCGAAGTCCTCATTCTTGTCTTCACACCGAGGAGGCAGAGGAGGAGAGGAGGGGTGGTCCTGCTGTCTCTGGCGGCAGAGGCAGGCACGCTCGGTGCACTTTATGGAAGAACATCAGAGTTTCTCTCTGACTTTTGCTTTTTCATTCCTCCAAACATGGTCTCTGTGGCACCAATCCTTCCACTGTGCTTTGCTTCAGTGCCCATATCATAGAGGGTCCGTGTCGTACGAGAAGTCAAAAGCAGTCCTGACTAACGGGCACCTGCCTGCCAGCTTGTCACGGTCTGACGTGACGATGTCTTCCGGCATCTGTGTCTTCTTCCTCATCAGTCTTGCTCTGGTTCGGAGGCTCCCATCTCCACCAGTTTGCCTTCTGTTCATTCCTCTGGGGTGGGGTCTGTTAGCACTTGAATTTCTCCAAGATCCAGATCTTGAAACCCTCCACCCCTCACCTTTTTTACCATGTCCACAATCTCACTGGCTCTGTCACACATCCTGTGAAGTCACACACAGCATCTGGACACGGTTTTCTCAGCAGCAGTTTGTGGTTTCAGGCTCCATGGTTTTCGTGGCCTTTTCTCTACCAGCAGCAGCATCTTCAGTGGCGTCATCCTTCTGGATTTCCAGAGAGTGCTGCTCTCCTCACGGGGTTCCCATCTGTGGCATGGGCAGTCGTTTCCAGAGTACTGTGTGTAACGAGCCTGAAAGGTCCTTATGGCCCCTGATGCAGAGGCTCAGTCAGACTGGGTTGGGGGTCGTGTACACCACTGCAGCAGCTTTGGTGTTGAGCTCGTGGGAAGCTGGGTGGCCGGGTTACCGTCCAATATCAGGAAAATGTTAAAAGGCAAGGTGCTTCCTGACTTCACGTACAAAGCATCGATGGAGTTAGCCCAGAAAAAGGGTTCTTGTCCAGGCCTTCTTGTCGGACAACCGGAAGCCCAGCGGCCGGTGTTTATCTTCTCCCTCCAAGGCTCCGGGGCTTTCTAGATAAGGGGCGTCCCGATCATGAACCTGCCTGCGTTTGCACAGAGCCGGAGAGCCACGCTGTGCCTCCCTGGCTTACCTCCTGGGGCTCCCTTCTCTGCCGTCCTGACGGACGTACTTCGTGGCACGTCTTGTCCAGGATGGGGCACTTGGTCTGCACGACACACCCGTGCAGGCCAGCACTCTCCTCGGTGGTCTTCTCGGCGGGGGCTGGGCCCTTGCCTGCTGCCTCTTGCCGGCAGAATTGCTGCTCTGTCATCTCAACGTTTTTAAGCCAAACCTCTTTCTGAAATTATCAGACCATCCTTCACGGGCGTTAAATTCTCCAGCTTTAGATCCTTAACCTTTCTTTGGCTTTAAGTTTTTATAGAACAACTTTGCTTTTTCTCGAATGATTTTAGAGTGTATAAGTGTGCCTTTCCTATGCACCCACATAAAAATGGCATTTTCGATATGAAATAAAAAGGTATCTTGCAGAAAATGCAAGGTTTTCATGCCTTCTGGCATAGCTACAGTGACAGCTTTGTGAATTTCCTTCTTTGGCTTTGTTTTGTTTTTTTTTACAGCGGTCTTTATACCCGATTCATTTATCTTCAGATGAACAGCAGCCAGAGCTGCAGACCTCGGTCTGTGGTGCATACAAAGCAATTCGACTTTTTCTTTTAATGTCATGACATCCTCTGCTTCTTGAGAGCACTCGGCACGGGCCCCGTGGTGCGGCTGTGGGGGCGCCGCCAGGTACTGGGGAGATGCACTGCTTGAACGGGGGTCTGCACCCCCGCCCCCAGCGTGTGGAGCAGACGCTGTGGGACGTGAGCTCCCCGCGATAGTGGCCGGGGTGGGGGGCGGGGGGGGGGGGACTGCGACATTAGTGAGACGGTGCAGCTTGCACTGCAGTGAACTCTAGGCGGCCCTTTAAGTTATTAATATTTCCCTTGATTGTACAGTCTGTGTACGTGAGTTTTGTTGTTAACTTTTTGTCATATATTAGTGTGTGTTTTATGGTAGTAAATGATAAAATGGACCGGAATCTACATGTATTTTATACATTCATGAGATACCTCATCTCTTCGATAATGTCTAGGCTATGCGATTTGCCTGCAAGTTTTTTCAAACTGTTACAAATCTCAAAAAAACCTTCCAATATGTTTATTGAAAACCATCTGCGTAGAAGTGGGCCTGCGTAGTTCAGCCCCTCCTGTCCTCGGGGACTTGGGGAGGTCCCATTGACCAGCGTCCTCGTGACCCGCGTGGGACAGCCTGCTCTGGGCGTCCGGCAGCGCCGCCCTGTGCAGCCTGCGGCACAGGCTGGAGCCGCGTGTCCCCCGCAGCTGAGGTGTGGGGTGTACCCTTAGGGGAAAGAAAATCCACCCCTTGTCCTTTGTCCAGCAACTTTGTGATGAAACCCCTGGCTTCAGAGCCACCTGCCCTTGGTTACCGTCTAGGTTCCCAGGTGGCTTTGACACCATGAGCAGCAGAACCGCCCTCGAGGACGCACGTGCGTCACGATGGCACCTCCCTCCCTGCCGCCTCTCTCTGCTTGGCTTGCTGGCAGCCAGCTGTGCTGCCGCCTCACCCCCCAGGCCTGTCCTGCCTGCTGAACCTCAGACCCCTGCTCGCTGTGAGCAACCTCAGAGGAGCTCGGCCGCCGCCACCTTCCATCAGGATCAGCCTCCGTCTTCCTCACCCATGCCCTCTCCTGCAGCCTCCCCCTCGAAACAGTGGCTGTGCCGTCCCCGAGCTGGTTCAGTCCAGAACATTCTCTCATGCCTCGGGCCTGTCCAGTGCGGGAGAGCAAGGTTCGAGGACACCATGGGCAGGCCCAGAGCGCATGGAGTGGCCTTGGGGTGAGGCCCTTGGTTCCAGACGTCAGGGACTCGCTGCCTCAGCCCCGGCCCCCCCGCGCGGCACTCCTTGTCCAGCAAAGCAAGTCAGATGTTGGAGACGTCCTTTAAACACCCTCGTGAGCCGGCAAGGACGCGCGGAGCCCGCGTGCGCGGGAGCCTGGGAGAGGGGCCAGCGCGGCCAGCCTCGGGGAGCCCCACCCAGGGACCTGGAGCTTCTGCCTCAGTGCCTTTGGGCCGACCTAACAACAGACGGGCTCAGGGCTACCGGAAAGTGGGGACCTGGGAAGTCTCACAGGCTGCCGCTCAAGGGCCACCCCCCTCGGTGCAAGGCCATGGACGTGAACCCGCCCCAGAGAAGGACCACATGACACCGTGCGTCTCAGTGCGGGCGAGACTTCTCCCAGAAGAGCCTAGCCCTGCACTGACCCCCACTCGGCGCTTTGACCTGCGGTCAATACCTGTCACAGAAAGAATGTCCGGAGTTGGCAATGACCAAAAAGATGGGCCAGTTCATGCCACATGCTGGCCATTTGACGGGGAGGTCAGGGCTCGGAATGAACACAGTCGGAAAACTGGTGACCAGGAGATCGGGGTGAGTCCACACTGGGCAGAGGGTCTTTCCGTTCTGAGGCAGACAGCTGGCCTCTGCTGTGGCTGGCGTCAACCTTCCCTGCGCCCCATCCTTGCCCAGTGGCCTCGAGAACCACCTAAGGACAGGCATGGGTTCCCCTCAGCAGGCCGATTGGGCCGTGGCCACATCGAGTGCCTGACCCCCCAGTGATGGAGACCCCCCAGACGAGCCTGCCTTTGACATCGGTCCGGGGGCCTGGCCTGGCCTGGGCCCTGTGGCAGGGCTGGTGACACGTGGGCCCCACCCACCCTGACAGGGCACCGGCTGGGAACAGCCCTTCCCCACCAGTGCCTGCCTCGTCTGCAGGCCCCTCAGCACCTCCCCCACCCTCTCGGTTTTCATGGCGTCTGCTGACCGTGGAGCGCGGCCCTCAGCAGAAGGGGGCAGGCCCGGCTCCTGCCCCCAGCTGACCGGGTGGCGCCCAAGAGAGGCCGTGGGAGAGTTAGCGCCCTGAGACGTGCCCTGCGCCAGGGGATTTTGCACTCAGGAAGTCGCCGTGCCCCCCCCCCCCCCCAGTAAGGCACAATTGCCATTGATGTTGTTTCTCAAAGTGAAAATGGCAGAATTAACCTAAACGGCCAAACCGAGAGGAAGTGTAAAGCAGGAGGGGGCGCTGCAAAGCCCACACGGCGAGGACGTGGGCACACGAAGGCCACCGAAGCCACAGGAAAACAGCCAGTCTGTGGGATCCTGCTGCTCCGAGGGTGGTGCCGGTGGGGGGCCGTGCCTCGGGCGTGGCGAGTGGCAGCGCCCGGGTCCGGCCCGCGGCTGCAGCTTCGGGGTGCCAGCCGAATCTCTGGCTGCCAGCAGTCCGTGTTGCAGATATTTTCTCAGTTTACTTGCCCTTATGTTTTACTGAAAATAGATGTTTAAAAATAGACTTAGGGACCATTTTAGATTTACAGAAAAAAATCAAATGACAGCACAGGGACGTCCCACACGGAATGACAGCTGTGTTGGGGGTCACGCTCGTTACAGTTGATGAACCAATATGGATGCATCGTCATTAACTACAGTCCACACTGGATACAGGTCTCCTTAGTTTTTACCTGAAGTCCTTCTTCTGTCTCACAATCCCATCTTGGCACACGTTACATTCAACCCTCAGGCTCTTTCGGGTCTTTGTCACTGACAGTTTCTTAGACTATCCTTGGTCTTGACCTTGACCGCTTGGAGGAGTACGGGTCAGGGATTTTGTAGAATGTCGCTCTGTTGGAATTTACCTGGTGTTTGTCTCAGTCCTCGACCCAGAGCGTGGGTTGTTTCCAGGGGCCATCCGGGGGGCACACGCTCAGCGGGGCTCATCCCTTCGATGTTGACCTGGAGCAGCCGGCCGGGGTCGTGTGGGTCAGTTTTCCCGCTCTACCGCTACTGCTGTTCGCTCCCCTGCCGCCCCGGCCTCTTGCAGGGCGCCGCAAGGTGCAGCCCACGCTCACAGAGTGAGGCAGGAACGCGGTTTTGCTGAACTCTTCATTTCTGCCAGACTCTATAACGGGATTGTGTGCGAGACTGGAATCAGTCGTTAAGTCCTTTACCTTTTGGTCTAAAACTAACTGCCAGCACCAGTGCTAAATGGTCTCTCAGCCTCCCAGGGACCCTACTGTCGCGTCATTCTGCCTCCGATCGGCTCCACTGAGCTCAGTGCACTGCCGTGCCGGTAGCACGTACTTTCAGTATCCTTAAAAAATCATCTCTTCTTTTTTTAATGTTTATTTTTGAAAGAGAGAGACAGAACGTGAGAGGGGGAGGGGCGGAGAGAGGGAGACACAGAATCCAAAGCAGCTCCAAGCCCTGAGCTGTCAGCACAGACCCTGACGTGGGGCCCGAACTCACGAACCGTGAGATCATGACCTGAGCTGAAGTCAGACACTTAACCAGCTGAGCCACCCAGACGCCCCCCACCCCCAAAATTGCCTGTTTTTAAGTGACCCGCGGCAGCACTTGGTGAGTTCCCATAAACACGCAGCCGGGGTTCTGGCTGGAGTCACATCTGGTGTCTTCACAGAGCCCCTCCCAGGAGTGCGGCCCTTCCAACTGTGGCACAGGCCACTCTGTCGGCCCCTTCGAGAGGGTGCTCCCTGCTCTTCACCCGCTGCACTGGGCAGGGGTTGAGGCCTCTGCCCTGTGACCTCCCAGGCTTGCCCGCCGGCCGCCCGCGGGGCCCGGGACGCCGTGAGGACCCTTCCCAGGAGTGATGGCGGCCGGAGCCTCAGGCCTCCAGCCGGGTGCGCTTGCCGGGCTTCCTCACGAGGTCTCTCCTTGTGTTCCCACGGGTTCTTCTTTTCGAGAGTCCACAGTATTTGTGTTCTTGACTAACACAACACATATCGTTATCTCTGTTTCTTTGAAGGTCAAAAGCTATGTGATTTTTGGCATTTCAAGTTTGAATGTACTCCCCATTGACTGACCTCTGTCCCCTCAAATCCAGCGCATTAAAATGTCCTGACAAGATGGCTTTAGGTTCAAGGCAAAGCCAGAAGTCCTTTCTAGCTCCTCTCAACGCGAGGTACAGCCCTGCTCAGAACCGAGCCAGGGAAGCCAGCCCTTGAGCCCCCAGCTGTGGCCAGGTGGCTGCGGACCAGAGGCCAGGCCAGGAGCCGGGCTGCAGCAGCCGGGGTGCAGCCCATGGGCTCAGCATCCATGAAGTAGAAGCAAATACCTGAAAATACTGCTTGATTTCGTATTTGCCCTCAGTTGGACTGCTGCTGACAGACTGAAATGTCCTTTTCACCAGAAAGGTGGTCCTTTCTGGTGACCCACTGCCTGCACGCTCTGTGACCGGCACTCTGAGGAGGGACAGGATCTGTCCTGCCCCGGGATCTTATCTGGGAGCGACCGCGGCTCACCGTGAGCAGCTCCTACGTCTGCTTTCTCTGTGGGTTTCATTAGGTTACGCCGCCACCGAGTGCACACGCCACACGCCCCTGTACGCACACACACATCACACACATGTACGCTCGCACACGCAAACAGAAAAGGTCAGCATGGCTGTTTGTGGCCCGGGATCACGGGAGCCGCCTGCCGGTGCCGTGAGCCGTGTTAACACTGTCACATACGACCCCACACAGGAACCCTTCTCCACCAACCGCACCCTTTTGAGTTTTATGCGAGCTTTCTGCTCAGTGCTCTCATTTTATTTTTAAGGCTGAATTCCTAGGGATGGGGGTGGGGTGTGGGCAAGCTTGTCCCCACCTGAGGCGGGTCCGTGGCTGCACTCTGCATAAGGGGCAGCAAGGCCTCCTTTTGGCCATAGGGTCCGAGGTGCCGTAGGGTTTCTGGAAGAAGTGCTTCTCAATTTTTTATATGCCTTTGGTTAATTTCTAGCACCCTAAAATGGTTACTTTTGACGCTTTTGTCTAGTTTTGTCATTATTTGGGGGGAGACGATTTGTCGAGCCCCTCATTCCACCTTCTCCCAGCCCCACATTCCTTGTTCTTTGTCTCAGACATTTCAGACATTTCCAGAGATCGCTGATCTGAACCGCAGGTCAGTTTACAGAGCAGCTGGGGCTTCAGGACGCTCAGATTCTTGCTGTACTTTTTGAATCTCTTGTTTCCTTTTTTCCTCCACCGTCTTTGTGTTCTCTGAGGGAGTCTGAGGGCATTGAGCCACATCCAGAGTTCTTAGACTCGGTCATGGAAGCCGAGTCCCATGGGCGTGTTCCATGTGCCCTGTAGGCAGATTTTTCCAGTCTGGTTTGCTTCTTCGCAGCGATGCTTCTCCGAAGGGCCCAGGTTTGTGCAGTAAAACCCTGTTTGCTTCCAGACTGGCAGTGAGCTCTCCTCCCTGCCTGCGCTTCATCCTCACAGCCGGCGGGGGCGGGTGGGGGGGCGGGGCGCTGGCCTCCCAGCTAGGTCTGCTTTGTCATGTTGTCATTTTGCACTTGCCAAGGCCTCCTCTTCCATTCAGCCTGTCGCTTCTGTAAGAACACAGATGACCCTGTGCGTGTAAGAGGCGCATCAAGGAAATGGTGCAGGATTTAGGGGCTGTCAAGAGAGCAGACTAGGGGCGCCTGAGTGGCTCAGTCGGTCGGGCTTCCAACTTCAGCTCAGATCATGATCTCACGGTTCGTGGGTTTGAGCCCTGCATCGAACTCTGTGCTGACAGCTCAGAGCCTGGAGCTGCTTCAGATTCTGTCTCTCTCTCTACCTCTCCCCTGCTTGCACTCTGTCTCTCTCAAATAAACGAACAAACAAACATTAAAAAAACTTCAGAAGAGAGCAGACTGTCCCCAGCAGTACAGATCTGACCATCCTGAGGGGCCGCCTGCAGGTTGTGTGTTAGAGGTCCGAGTGCAGTCGGAAAGGAACGCGCTTCTATGGAAATGTGTGCAGACGTCCAGGCCCCGAATTTCACAGGTGGGTGACCGAAGTGCCCGGAGTGTCCCCGAGGCCGGGTGGCATCCTCAGCACCCCCACTCCAGGCTGCACAGCAGGTCCGGCAGCTGTTACAGACCCAACGCGGGCTCGCTCTGGGCTCGCACTGGTGGTCTTGGTGGGGTCCCCCTGAGGTCCGAGGGCCCCTGGCGACTCTGTAGTGGAAGCCGGGACGAGTCATTGCAGAGTCCAGATGAAGACGTGTCGCGGCTGTGTTCGCTGCGACACCTCTGCTTTGGAGCCCTCCCCCTCCTGTTTCAGAGGCTCCGGGGGACTCGGGAGATGGGAGGGAAAGTGGTGAGGGACGGGATGTGACCCTCACTTCCCAAGGGCAGGGTGGCAGAGGTCCGCAGGGTGTGCTGCTCTCGTGGGGGGCCGTGGCCCGGGGCTGCGGACTCTCAGAAGGTGGGGTCTGTCCTGCCAGACTGCGGTCCAGAGTCACCGCGGGTGAGAGTCCCTGAGGGAGTAGGCAGTGCCCTGCCTTCTTTTTCAGGGGTTGTGCAGGCCGTTTCTTTTGTGTGCCTTTCTTTTCGTGTTTCAGTAAAATGTCAGAGGGAAGTGGGAGACGGCAGGAACCCGGAGGGGAGGCTTGGACTCCCAACTGCCCTGTCCGAGTGCCTCGGCTGACGCTGCCAGGGGCCCCGGCAGGCTCGCCCACAAAGGGGTGTTGGCGTTGGCGTGTGGGGGTCTGGGGGTGTCTCTCACGTCACAGGGAAGAGTCAGTACATGCAGTCTAATGTTGGAGAGAAACAGATTCAAATGCGCTTTTTCCTTATTTTAACCACTAGCATTAAGATAAGATTACTCCCAAGTTACTGGCTATGAAACAAAATATATACTAAAGATAGGGAAAATCTAACGACCATGAGATGCATCCAAGCAGCGCCCGTTAGCAGAAGGCTGAATTTGGCACAAAGAACTTCCGACACACCTCGGACGTGAGCAGGTCCACACTCTGCATTTTCGTTTCTGTGACTTCCTAGAAGTGCAAACTGATCTACAGGGACATAAAGTAGATCAGCAGACTTATGCTTCCCGGAAGACGGAGAAGCTGAGCGCAGCCCAAAACCCTGGACATTACATGTAAAACGAGCATAAAACACTCCATAAGCTGGAGGGAATCGAGGGAGGTCACGTCTCCTGGACTGTTCTTACGCCTCAGCCACCCTGGACAGGTCAGAAAGGTAAGCACCAATAGGTGCAGACTGAAGTCCAAACAGAAACAAAATCCAAGTACCCCCTGCTGTCCCTAAGCAAACCAGCCTGTCCAGATAGAAGCCTTTAGATGAGAAGCATTCCATGTGGGCCAAACACCCCCCAAAACTGTGACCCCACCCTTGCCAGACTATAACAAGCCACCCCAGCCCCCGCCGTGCTGGTGTCAAAGAGGCTGGGGGTTGATCCGTACTTTCGTCCCTCTGGGCTCTTGAAGACCCCCTACCGCCATGTCAGTGTGGGGGGGCTCTCCCCCAGCAGCCCACCAGTCATGAGGCCCCTGCTCACTATCAGCAGAAGCCTGAGTGGCGAACTTTGTCTTCTGCCCTTGCCCGGCCACAGCAAGGCAGCACCCCGCCTTTCCTTGCTGGAATGGTGCCCAAGGAATTCAGAGCAAACACAATATTTAAAAGTAATCGAGGGGCGCCTGGGTGGCTCAATCGTTTAGGATCCGGCTCTTGATACTGGCTCAAGTCATGATCTCACCATCTGTGATCTTGACCCTCTGGGGTGTCAGTGCAAAGCCTTCTTGGTATTCTCTCTCTCTCTCCCTCTCTTTCTGGCTCCTCCCCTGCTTGGACTCTCTCTCAAAACAATAAATGAATAAATAAACAAACAAATAAATAAAACCAGAGTTTTGTAACTTAATATCAAAGTATCCAGATTTCATCTGAAATCCATTCCACATACTAAGAACCAGGAAGATCTCAAGTTGAGTGACAAAGACAATCAACAGACACCAACACTGAGATGGCACGGATGTTAAAATTAGGTGACAAGGCTTAAAGAGGGCTGTATGGGCAATTGCAAACACGCTTGTAACCAATGAAAAACTAGAAAGTTTCAGCAAAGAAAAATAAGTTGAAAAGAAGTGCCAAGTTGAATTTTTTTTATTAAGGGTTAATTTTATCAGACCACTTTTAGGTTCACATAAAAATTCAAGGGAGGGTGCCTGGGTGGCTTAGTCGGTTAAGCGTCCGACTTTCGCTTAGGTCATGATCTCGCGGTTCGTGGGTTCGAGCCCCGCGTCGGGCTCTGTGCTGACTGCCAGCTCAGAGCCTGGAGCCTGTTTCAGTCTGTGTCTCCCTCTCTCTCTGACCCTCCCCTGCTCACGCTGTCTCTCTCTCTCTCCTAGAAATAAATTTTAAAAATATTTTTAAAAAATTCAAGGGAAAGCGCAGAGATATCACAACCCCCTCCCTGCCCCCACACACGCACAGCCTACCCATGCCCCACCCCCCGTCAACAACCCGCCCCTGAGCTGCGTTTCCATCTGTGAACCTGCACTGACGCATCACCACCCAGAGTTCACGGTGTCCCCCGACTCGCTCTGGCCGTGCGTGTCACGTGGGCTCGGACAGGTGTGCGATGACCGCGGTCGACCACCACAGCACTGTGAGGAGGAGGGAGTGTTCTCACTGCCTACCCACTATCCACACCCACCCACCCACCCCCCCGGCCACCCTGACCTTCCCGCCGTCTCCATGCTCCTGCTTTTCCAGAACGTCACACAGATGGAATCCTACAGGACGCAGCCTTTTCAGATCGGCTGCTGTCACTTACTGACCTGCATTTAAGGTTCCTCCGTGTCTTTCGTGGCTGACGGCCCGTTTCTTCTTGGCGCTGCCTACGTCCCGGTGTCGGGAGGCACCGGCGTACCTGCCCGTCCCCTCCCGGAGGGCACCTTGTGGCTCCCGGGTCTGGCAGTTATGGACGAAGCTGCTGTGAGCATCTGTGTGCAGGTGTCATGCAGATGTGGATGGTCACCTCCTCCGGGCAGACCTCCAGGAGCGTGATCGCGGGGTCGTGTGGTCAGAGCGTGTTCAGTTTTGTGAGAACCCAGCCAACCGTCTTGCGAGGCGGCGGCACCGCTCTGCTCTCCCAGCGGCAGGGAGGAGGCGCCCGTCCCTCCGCGTCCCCGCCAGCGATCCGCGTTGTCGGCGTTCTGGGGTGTGGCCGTCCTCACGGGTGCGCGGTGGTGTCGTCGTCGTCTTCACTCTCATTCCCTGATGACGTGGACGCCTGCGTGTCTTCTCTGGTGAGGTGTTAAATTGAAATTTTGGCACTGAAAAACACAATAAATGCAATTTAAAAACTCAAATTGTGTACCTTAAATACGTGTAATTTTATATGCTTCAATTATATCTCAATTAACCTTAGGAAAAAAACCCCACAGATTTGGTCCTAGAGGAGCCTAGTGACATTCTCTTTATAAGACACTTTAAGTAAATGATCCAGAAAGTTTAAAATGAAAGGGATGGAGGAAATGACAGACTCACACCAGCAAAAAGAAAGGAGGGAATTTGAGCAACTGGGCGGGGAGGTGGGGCTGAAGCTTGCACCGCTCCTGCCTCCCGTCTGGGGACCGCAGTGACGAGCGCGGGGCGGGGGGTCTTTGCAGGGTCTTGGATGAGCCGCAGTAACAGAGAACCCTCCGGTCTCAGTGGCTTATGCACAGAGTGTGTTCTCGTCCTGGCTCGGCCGGGGCCCTTTATGCGTTGGCCTCTCCCGCTTCCCAGGCTAAGGGTGCCGCCCTCTCTGGAATGTTGTCACGTCACGGCGGGAGGAAGAGAGCGGGAGAGCCGGCGACACGACACGGCCAGGCCTGGCCTCTGGGTGTGGCCCGCATAGCTGTCTGGAGGACAGGACAGTAGATAACACAGCCACCGAGGTTTGCCTCTCTGCTCACGGCCAGCCACTCCCCTCCTTCCCCTGTGACCCAGCAGCCCCTCCATGGCCCGGGCTGCGTGGCCAGGATCTCTTCCCGTTTCCTAGCCGGCCCCCACTCTGCCTCCTCTCGCTCGGGACACCTAAGGCCCCGGGAGTCGCTGCCCCGCCCTGTCCGCCCTGCTGGACACGGTGGGTCAGTGTGCAAGTCCTCAAACAAGCCCCCTTTCTGCAGGGGCCGGGGCAGGAGACCCCAGTGATTTGCGCGCCTGGCCGTCCTCCAGGGTGGGTGGGTGTTTCTGTAAAAGGCCAGAGAGTAAAGACCTCAACCCTGTGCGTGGTGGGAGGGAACCCAGAAGCTGTGATGAGAAGGGATCCCGAGGCGCCCTGGGGCCGCCCGTGCGAGCGATGCCCGCCCCCATTAGGACACCATTTTCATGTGTCCACATGCTTTCACGCTCATGGACCGGCGGACAGTTGTTTAGACTGGGTATTTGGCAGACGTTTCCTCCAAAATGACCGACATTAGCCTGTTGCTTCAGGGAAAGCAACTGAGGTGTTTGTTGCCTACGATGATGACCGTTGAGCTGTCAAGCGGAAGTTAGAATTTTCCAAAATTTACATCTGCCACTGTTCACAGCTCTCTCAGACGTAAGACTTTTCTGACGAGCTTGGTGGTGATATTAACAAACATGATTTTTTTTACGTTGGATACTAAAATGTGTCAGTGTCTGGAAGACCTGTATAACTCACCGAACCAGGATTCTCCAGGTGACCACTCTGTGATATAAAAATGCTGCGTGGGTAGAAGTTGCCTTCAGAGTTTAGGGTCGGCCAATGGCTTTTTAAATAGAGTTTTAAATGGAGCTCAGGAAGTTCTTTGAAGAGGTTGTGTGGTGTTCAGATTGCACTTCTCCACTAACCTTTAAGCAATTACCACTATGGGGTTTTGGTGTTGTGGCAAAGAGGAATGTCCCCAAGTGTCTGAGGAGGCTGTGGAAATACCTCTCCCTTTCCTGGTTGCATGTCTGGGGGCCGGTGGGTTTCACACATGTCAGCCAAAATGAACGTATCCTAACAGATTAAATGCAGAAGCAGACATGAGAACGCGGTTGCCTTCTCTTCAGTCAGGCATTAAAGAGACGGACGGACAAAGGGGCGCCTGGGGGGCTTAGTCCTTTAAGCGTCTGACTTCGGCTCAGGTCATGATCCCATGGTTTGTAGGTTCAAGCCCCGCGTCAGGCCCTGTGCTGACAGCTCGGAGCCTGAAGCTGCTTCCCATTCCGTGTCTCCTTCTCTCTGCTCCTCTCCTGCTTGTGCTCTGTATTTCTCTGTCTCTCAAAAATGAATAAGCATTTAAAAAAAAAAAGAGAGACTGAGAAAAATGTGAAACAATGCAACACTTCTTATTAACTGTTTTGGAAAATATAGTTATTGTTCATGAAATTAATACTTTTATTAACTTGTATTGGGTTATTATTCTTACAAGTGAATTAATAAAATATTTCAAGTTCTTAGTTCTTATTCCTAATAAGGTCATAATGATAGATACGACCCACATAAACAAAGCACGTTGGTGCCCACACCGATTTTTACGAGACCACAGGAGTCTGGGGACTAAGAGCGTTGAGGAGCACTGCGCCCCTGGCTGTGGGGACCGCGGCTGCACCTCGCGCCCTCCTCCGTGGCGTCCCTCCTCTGTCCTTCCCTTCCCTGCTCATGCCAGCCCACCCCGACCCTCCCCTGGCCTCCTTCCTCTCTTCCTTGTTCCTTCTCCAGCAGCAGCGTCTGCCCTGCGCTCTGCCTGCAGCCGCCGTCTCGCCCGCAGGTCGCCTGCCTCTGCCCCTGCGCGCAGTGATCGTGCCGTGTCCCGTGTGCTCCGGTCACTCCCGCCCACTGCTGTGGTGGCCCCCCGCCCCCCAGGGGCTTGCGTGATGGTCAGCACAGTCTGGGCTGCGCTGTGGGCCCGGTGAGCCCCCTGTTTCCATGGCCCGCACAGGCCACCTGGGCCACCGGTCTTGGGTCAGCTGCGGTCCCGCTGGACGTCAGCCGGATGTTTGTCACAGGGGCAGAGGAGTGACTGTGCCACCTCTGCTCCCCCCGGGTTGGGTAGAGAAAGTGCCCGGCGAAGCGTGACACGGCCGGACAGGAAAGAGGGTGAGCCCGAGGGAGGAACGAGGCCGTGCTGAGCACACACGGGAGGCGCCGTGTCCGTCTGGCCCCCTCGCCCTCCAGCCTCCGTCGTTTCTGCCCTGCCCTCAGCTCCTGTGCTGGGCGCCTGGCCGCCTCCGCTCAGCTGGCCCTCGGCCCTCGGCTGGAGGGCTGTCCTCGCGCGTGTGTGGCCAGCACTGCGACGGGGCAGGGCACCTCACGTCTGACCCGGGGGCGGGGGGGGTGGAGGCTGCTGGCCACCGTTAGCCCTGCTTGACTCTGGCCTTCCCTGCGGGTGTCAGGGCCCCCGCTACAGCTTCGCCCCTGCCCGAGGGAGTGACGGCCCTGGTCAGGGCGCCCTGGGGGTCCCAGGGCACGTCGGGCAAGCCATGAAGAGAGGGTGCAGAGGTTTGCTCCCTACCAGCCACGTGGCCTGCCCGCGGCCTGTGGGGGACGCTGTGTGGGCCTCACCCCCCGTCAGGGTGCCTCCGGCCTCGTCTCCTTATATTCTCACCCACCCAGGATGTGTGTGTCTTTCCTCTCCTCTGGGCTCGGACATGGGGCGGGGGGGGGGGGGGGGGGGGGGGGGGGGGGGGGGGGGGGGGGGGGGGGGGGGGGAGGCGTACTGCCGTCGGCTGAGGAGGGGGCAGGTGAGCAGAGAGGCGGCCTCTGCGTGCTGACTGCAGGGGTGGAGGTCAGCGAGGCTGCTGGGGGCCAGGGAAGTGGCGGCGAAGCTGTGTCTCGGGCTGTGAGTGGGAAGCCATGTGCCGGGCATGAGCTCCATCAGAGGGAAGACCTCTCCGTGGTGCGGGGAGCACCAGTTGGGTGGGGAGGACAAGCAAGGCCTCAGGGGCTTGAGTCGGGCTCCCCAGCTGTGGCCTCGGGCGTATCTCGTTGCTTCGCAGCCTCCCGTCTCTCGGGCCCTGTCTGTGCCCGTCTGCGCAGCAGCAGCGCGTCCCCTGTGTCCCAAGAGGCGGGCGTCTCTGGGCAAGCGTGGGGCTCCAGCCCCCAAGCACCGTCCCCTCTGGGACTTAAGTGTCCCTGGGCTCTTTCTGGATGCACCCACGCCCTTGAACCCAGCTGTGATCCATGCCGTCCCCAGGGCTCAGATCAGCACTTCGCTGGGGACAGACAGCCCCCCCCACGCTGCCACCCACAACCCTGTGGCATCTGCGTAAATGTGGGCCGTAGGGACCCTGCAGCCTGGGCCCCCAGCTGTGCCCAAAGCTATGCTGGCTCATCAGAGCACCCCACCCGAGTCCCCCTTTTCATGCGGACTCCGGGTACCTCCTCTCCTCACTGCTCCTCCAAGCACCCCTCCCTGAAGGTTCTAGAACACACAGCTTTACCAAGGCCTCTGCAGCAGCACCACACAGGCTGGGCACCAGGCTCTGAGAGGAGCTGTGCAGCGCCTCCGCCCACCCCCCTCCACTCCCCCCCGGCACCAAGGGCCCTCGGCGCTGGGCAGAGGGAACAGGAAGGTGGGTGGGGACCCTCAGGCTGTGCTGCTGGGAGCTGTCCTAGGGCTCGAACCCTTGCTGGGGGGCAGCATGGAGGGGGGCAGCCTGAGAGGACCCCAGGTGGGAGCGGCTCCCCGCCCTGCCTGTGGAAGTAAGGTTGAAGTACCCGGCCTTTGACAGTTATGTAAATCATATTTTTAATGAAAACACATAATTAATGATTTGAGAGTGTGGCATAATAATAATTTTTACAAGCTACCATTAGGATGCTGCAAATATTTCACGATGAGGCTTAACAAAAAGGAAAGAAATCAAAGGAGCTTAAGCACCACCTGCTCCCGTCACTGTGGTACCGAATCCGCGGTGCCTTCCACCCCGCTTTCCCTGGCCCTCCCCGCTGCCATCCAGACGCCCGGCCCAGCCCCCCCCCCCCCGCCTTCTCCTGGACTGAGGCTCCCCCCGCCCCACGCCTGTCCCAGCCTTGCGGCCTCACAGAAAGGCCTTCCCGCAGGCCTGGTGCTGCTCCTCCGCCCCGAACGCAGGCTCCCGAGGAGCCTGTCCCATGATGCTGGGGCTTGTCCCCTTTGTGACAAACCCTCCCTTGTGTCGGGGCCCATCCCACCGGGTCTCGGAGCCCGTCTCACGGCCCCGGCCCCCTTTCCTCTCATCCCTGCAAAGCGAACCCTGTACGTTTCCGTCGCTGCTGGGCGGGCTGTTGGTAAGGGCCCGGCCAGGCCTTTCTGGAGCGCACACCCTTCTGGTCCTCTTGGATTTTGGTGAGTGCTGCGTGGCCCGAGGCCGACGCGCCCCTGAGTGCCAAGTGCCTGGCTCTGCCCGAGAGGCAGGGTTTGTATTTGCATCTGTTAGATCTGCTCGGGGAAGGGGAGGCTAGGTGCATTCTGCAGTCGTGTTCCATTTGACAGTTTGGCAGAACTGAGGAGTAAATTTAACTTGTCTAGCTACTCCAGCTTGTGAAATTAATATAAGGCAAATAAGGGAGTTTTCTATTGCTACAGAAGGTGGGTCGGTCGCTGAAAGTCTGCTTGTGAGTAAGGTGGAAGTCAAGGCAGAATTTTCTAAGGAACCTCAGTGTCTCACCCTGACTGGCACCTCATCATACAAGCTTGGGGGCATGATGGCCCATCAGGACTTTGGCTCCG